TCCCAAGCACGCTCCGTGGCTATTATCACACTTGTGTGGAAGACACTTAGGTTCTTGGAGTATTGTTTTTCTTCAAATTAAAATTATCACAAATAAACTTGGGGAACAGAAATAGTCAATGAAAAATTGGCATAGGCGGATTTTGAACCAGAGACTCATCCACTATAAGCTTATGCGGAAGCTGGACGAGACCCATTTTTTTAATGCTTAAATGTGGGCCTACATTAACCATGAAGCTGGTTAATAGCTCCATGATGGCATATAGTTGACTTAGTAATAAAAATAGTGTGATCTTTATAAATCGGAAACCATTCACACTTGGATTTTAAGTAAGCATAAATAGCTGCATTTGCATTTCAACATAGTGTGGGGACACTAACTGGCTTTCTAACGCTTTTCCTAGTAAAAGTCAAAGAAGTGAAAGTGCTTTAGTCATTATACATTATACCGAGCCACACATTTTGATTCGAATCCGAATGGTTCCGGCATGTCCGAATCCACTCACGACTGTTTTAACTAGTTTATTGTCGACTTTTTGGCCGTGACCCTGCCACAATTCCGCCCTATAAATTGTCACCATGAATATGGTATGTCAATTCGGCCCTACGGAGTTGCGGTCAATAGGTGAGCGTCTCACGTCACAGTGACATAATGGCATTGAACTTTCTAGAGTTCAAATGTTCATTCTGAAGACCAAGTTCAACAGTATTTATTATTTTTAATTTTTATTTTAAATCTTTAGACATTAAGTTCAAAAATACAATCTAAAATGTAAGCAGGGGCTGTCGTGGAGTGAACAAAAGTATAAAAACTGTCATCAAATGATGTGCTCATCCATACCCCTGATTACAATTAAGGTAGAATTACAAAGGTTCGGATAAAAATCGATATTGATAACTGAAATGAAAAAACCCTAAAACAGGAATATATCGAGGAGACCCCCTCCACACCAAAAAAAGAAAAAAAAGAACAAACGCACCAAAACAATGGCCACCCACAGAACTGTATAAACAGGACTAAAGACAATTGGAATTCCCATCCAAGTAAAAAGGTCCGAAAAAAGGGCTGATGAAAAGTGGTGAAAAAAAGCTGATAAAAAGGGGTGAAAAAAAGGCTGATAAAAATGACAAAACCCTACAAAACGGGCCACATAGTCTATTATGGAATATCCTCTTGCACAGAGAGAGTTTATGATATGCGAGCAGATTCGGCGATTAATTATGCAAAAGAAGACTGCGTCTTGACCTCGGAAATCCTGACCATGCATTCAGCGGGCGCCTTCTATCGGGTCCATAACCCGTTGTTGTATTACAAAAACCATGGCAGCCAAATTGACCAATCAACAGCTTAGTCCACATTTCTGGTCGAAAAGACGTCACAATTTCTAAAGCCGACTCCGTTGGCTGGCTAAGCTTGCGGGGTCGCATAAAATTTGCATTGCTCACATATATCCCGTGTGATACTCAGACTAGTTCAACAGTTGATCCGGCAGTAAAAATTATGGGGGGGGGGGGGAGATTAGACCGGCCGGCCGTTGCAGGATATGGCGTTGACCTCTTTGATTCTAGGTGGCGCTCTTTTTCATTAATTAAAGGCTGTATCATTCCTTCAAGCGAAACCGTAGAATGAAAGGGCTTCAAGTTTGCGGTTATTCCACGAATACTCCATGTAGGCCAACACGTCGTGACGAATTATCTGCCTGTGATTTTGTTTGTCGTGAAAAATCGCCTGAAATATTAAGTTGCCCCTATGCCAGTCTCCAACCCCCAAAAGAAAAAAAATAAAAGAAAAAAAAATAATGTCTAATAGGTTTAAGTTTTAATATTTCAATTCGCTGAATGGAACACCGGGTACTAATTAGATCAGCCGGTAGGTTTGCCGGTCCGTCCCGCTGGGAGCGTTGGCTTACACTGCCCCGGCAAACTCGGAGAAACTCCGTTGCGCTGGGGTGAAAGTCCTAATTTTTTACCTTCCATATCCTCGACAGAGAGTGGCACATGGCAGTTTAATACTACGGTGGTATTAAATGCCACATGCAGTTGAAAGCTTCCAATTAACAAACTTATTCCGTGTGGAATTATGAACCACTGACAATTATTTTTTGTTACGAATAATTATGTGGTTCCTCGGCATCGAAACTACTTGATAGTTATTTAATTTTTTTTTTAACGATTACTGAAGTTTATAAATTAAGCCTTTTCAGGAAAACAATTGGAACTTGATGGAATTCTTGAATAATTATTATATTGAGGAATTCTCTCATTATTTTTTTTACACTTGTAACCAAGGTAAAATACAAGTCTACACTCTTAAAGGTCCCGGGTCGGATTCAACTAAAATCCAGGTCAAAATGGCTTCTCTGAGTCACCTCTCTGAGCCATTTGACACGCAAAAGTGTCATTTTGACACAAAAAGTGTCCTTTATGATCAAGAAAAAGTGCCATTTTCACACGAAAAATTTCATTTTGACCCAGAAGAATGTCGGGTCAAATCCGACCCTGATTCCGGGTCGAATATGACCCGGGACTATTCATGCGTTTAGACAGGTTCCCGATGCCAATAAAACCTGTTTTTACCCTGAAGGAACCGAGTTATTTTGACCATCTCACAGCCGGGGGGGGGGGGGGTCGATTCCAACCACCCCTCAGATGTCGGCCATTGAGTCACCAATAATTATACAACTTGATTCATATAGAACAATTTAATACGAACATACCCAAGAAAGTTCATGACTATATAGGTTAAAGGGTTTAGGAATGATCGGCTAATTAATATGCACCAATGGTAATTCTGCTTTGTGTGGAATGTCAGCAAAAACAGTTTTTCCCGACCCGAGCTTTCCTGACTTTTTAGCCTCCATTCTTGCGCATATTTCAATACCAAAAACATAAAATTCGGATTGGGTTACCGTGCAATATGCGCAAGACTCGAGGCTAAAAAGTCACGAAAGCTCCGATCGAGGAACATTTTTTTGCAAGGGTATCGCGGAAAAAGTCAAGGGGGAGGGCGGATTCCTCCCCGGCACTTTTAGGGTTAACAGTGCACCTGAAGTTTTAATTCAGCAGCTGGATCAAATTTAATTTGATTGACTGACTGTTAATTATTTGAGGTGGTCTTCACACCGTTTGACCTCTCCTCCCTTGGGTTGTCTTTAATGATCTTTAGAAATGACACCATGGCGAACTACAACGTTTGAACAAAACAAACTAAACCGATAGGGCCTATGCGTATTTTACGGCGTTATACAGGACGAGTAAAAGAAAACGAAACCCAAATGTTGGGACCATTGATTTAATGAATTTCTTCATGTAGCACTTTCAAAATCTAGAATATGAAAGCTCCATTCGTAAGCTTTCTTTTAGTACAAGAATCATTCCAATCACTTATGTACTTTTCAAGTTACGGAATTTTAAGAACAACCACCGTTTTAAGGTTCTGTCCACGGATCACAAGAAAGTTTAGTGTTCTTACAGCAAAACGAAAACAAATCACATAGGGATATGTGTGTGAATTGTTTTCGTTTTGCTAAAAGAACGCACACCTTTTTTGTGATCCGTGGCAGAACTTTAAAACGGTGGTTGTGTTTAAAATTCCGTAACTTAAAAAGTACATGAGTGATTTGAATGATTCTTGTACTAAAAGAAAGCTTTTGAATTGGGTTTTCATGTCCTAGATTTTGGAAATGCTACATGCAGAACTTCAACAAAACAATAGTCACGACATTTGGGTTTCGTTTTTTTTTTACTCACGCTGGATAGAGTCTACATTTTGTCCCGTTTAATAATTGCACACAATATTCTGGCAGGAGTTTCTTTTCTTCCCAGCACTCTCATTTCAAAAACCGGTTATCTTGAAAATTAACTTTATTTTGCCTAAGCGCCAGACACCTAACACTACCAAATTCCAATGCATATACAGACCTCTACGAGGAAAAATGTTCCATATTGTATTGCGAATGAAGTGAAAAGAAACCACAAGTACATATTTATGATCAGCGGCCTTCAAACGTCACGTATTTGCAGGCGGTTTTTAGTGTTGTCTGTCCCGGTGGAGAGTTCGTGTCTAACCAACCCTAACCCTCGAGGCTGAAAGCCACCGACTTTCAATTTTCCAAGTTTGTGGGGGACTTCGGTTTTTGCAAGCATTATTATTTCAATTTACACGAACCAAGAGGTCGGATTTTAAAGGTAACATATACATACACCATTCGCTTTTGCTCTAATTTTCAGAAATGGATGGATTCAGGGGTTGGTATTTTATACCAAATATTGTTCACTTATCTGTGTGAGGTTTTGGTGTTTATGGATGTTGGAAAAACCAAGACAGAATGGTTCCCTGACCCTATACGTCTAACGAAATCGGAGCAATTCATAGACGTCAGGGATTTGTCAGGTCAGAGAACCAGACTAGCTGGCGTGCACCCATCAGGATGTGTCAGCATGACAGCACACCAGGTTCAATGATTTCACTGGATGCTTGAGACTTTTATTCACTTACAGCCAAGTAAGGTATTTCATAATAATTTGGTAGTTTTGTTGTTTGATGTTTGCAAATGACGTTAATGATATTGACTTTAATATTGAATATAGTTTGGGACATTTTGTGTTTTTGAAAGGGAAAATATGAGGTTGAAAACTAATCCGGTTTTTTTGGGGGGGGGGGCTGTTGCATTTTTTTGCAGCAATCTCGACAATAGTTTGCGCTGTGGTACGTTGCAAACTGGTCACTGTCTTGTGTACATTTCAACGATAAAACAATTTTCAACGTCAAAATGAACCACATAAATCAACAATTAAACTTAGGCTTCCTCTGACCACAATATCTATAACTAACCCCCGCACTGAAGCATGAAGAAAGCCCGTTAATGCTTTCCTGTCATTGGTCAAGTTCCGGAGATCACGTGGTACCCACGGCTGTGCGTTTTGCGGATCACATTCCAACGCCTGATGCGAAATATGATGAAGCGTGTTGCCGTCATATGCATAGCGCGCATTGTGTGCATTCACAGGGTACGGACGGGTTAGATCGAGTGATGACGGTCGGGTCATGTTTAGTTTCGGATGGCGGGCGCGCGGTGTGCGTCTACAGATCCTGCCGTGGAAGACTTTGTACAAGTCAACCGGCTGTCTGGACTTGTTGAAGCACGCCAAGCAGAGGTGATGCACATTCACATCATCCTGAACGCCTCCGAGTCTGAGATTCGCTCAGCTGTTCAGCATCAGTTTAACTGCAGCCACTCGTAAAGCGAAACTAACTCTATCGGGTTTTTTTCAAAAGCATTTTCCCCAATTTTATATCATTCCACTCCTTTCTTTTCTCAAAACAACTAAAGACCACTCTTCAAAACCGACGAAGCTTATAGTCTTATTGTCAAAGTTTCCCCTGGAATTTGTACTTGTGGCTGGCTCAGACCATCAGGGGGAAATGTTTCTCGGAAGTTGGAGGGGCAGCGAATCTGGTGGACTCATCAGCACCGTGATTGTAGTCGGATGCGCCATCGCTTTGCTGATTCTGAACCAACGCATCCAGCCTGTGCGGGCTTCATCGCCTTTAGGCCCTGGGCCCGGTCCCTTGGCCTCTCGGGACGGGTCCGGGGCGCAGGACGCGTCTTGTCCGCGGGAGTTTCGTGGCTGCAACTGGTACTGCCCGAGTCTGCCGGAGAGGTGCATCGGAGAGCGGCTCCTGCCGGACCCATGCCGGTGCTGCACGCTGTGCATGAAGCAGACGGGGGAGAGATGCTCCTTGCCTCGCGAGGCGTGCGATGCTGCTTTTCAACTCGACTGCGTGGAGGGCAGATGTAAAGGTAGGTTAAATCTCGGTACCGTTCCCGTCATGAAACGAAGCCGATATCTCCCCTTACACACTAAACGTGTGGTATTAACAGAGCTTCTAAAAAGATTTGGGGGCGGGTGTCATATTTTTGTAAATTGTTAATAGAGTGTATACAATATTGAGAGAACAAGCCCCATGTCCATTCTGGCCATAGTGACCGTTTTAGCCGATTTTCGGCTAACTTTGACAGATTTTTTGTTAAAAAACGAGTTTGACAGAAAATTTGACAGAATGGATTTTTTGGGCAGATTTCTGCAAAAATGGTTATTTAACAGAAAACCATAGCAAATTTGAAAAAAAAGAGTAGATTTGGTTAAAAAAAGCTTCAATCTTTTCAAACAAACCCTTGCAAAATAGGACAGTTTGCCTTGTCTATGTGCTGAGGTTCACTGGGAATCGGATATCGTCGCGACGCAACCTCGTTTTGACTGAAATTTATGCAATTTCATAACACCTTTATATGACTATAGATTGTTTATAATGTAATTTGAACCTTAATTAAGGCAATATTACAACATCTGCATGTGATTTTAAGTGTATATAGTGTATTTCGAGTAGTTCATGGGAATTTGGCAGATTTTGGATAAATCTGACAGATTTTTGAAGTGCATTTAACAGAATTTGGCCATGAACTTACGGTCACCCTGATTCTGGCTGGCATCGAGAACCATCACGAAAGGACAGATAATTACTATGAGCAACATTAGTCTTTGCGATTATGTCATCGTCTTAGTTTATACTTGGCATAAATCGGGGAATGAAACGAATATACGCAACCAGTTGAACTTGACACTCAACACAGATATTAATAATGCAGCTCCGAGACAAGCATGTGCGAGGTCATTCGAAATAAAGGAGCCGGGCTTCTTTTCACAGGAGTCAACATCTGCAACGAACTAACACTAGAGTCATGGTCATTCGTGGAAATTTGCGCTTCCTAACCGCTTCCCAGCGCTGGGACTAGAAAATGCGTCCTGCATAATAAATTAACAAAATTGTGACCTACTTCGGCAAAATGGGAAATGTTATACGCAAAACCTCGTTTCCAGCAGTGATCGTTTTTTTGTATACCCATAATCCTCTCTGTGTCTTTTTGTTTTGAAAAAAAGTCCAGAACAGTTTGATAAACTTTTAATTTATACCAAAAAAATATAAATGGTACTACTGGAAAGCCAACGAGTTGCCTGTTAGTATGCATGTATATATCTCAAAAAGTCAAAGTGGGGGTAATTTTCGTCATAATTGTATAGCAGGTCACATTTTAAGAAATGATTCACTTGTTGGGGAACATGAGTTTTAATTTCATAAAATGATTCAATATACCTTTCCCATTTTTACCATGGCAAAACAAGTATAGGGACATTCCAGCTTTTTGCCAATATAATAAATAAATTGCTACACCAAGGAAATGACTAACGAGCCTATCAAACAGTCAGAAATGTTTGTTGCACTGCAAAAATGCTGGGCAAATGAAAGCTAGGCAACTTCATTTCGGCATTTGTTGGGCAATTTCACCGCAACAAACGGATACAATTTTCAGTTTGGTAAAATAGCATATAGATATTATGATTTGAACGGTCAACACTGTTCAAATCATAATATCTATGATTTGGGCACACGTTGTCTATTTATGGATATCTATTTGAAGGTTTGAGCAAAATAACTCCCCCCCCCCAAATGTTGGGAATTTTTACACGAGAGCAAGGGCGGATCCGGGGGGGGGGGGGGAACGGGGGCCATGCCCCCCCCCCCCCAAAAAAAGAACCCATTTTTTTTTTAAAGCGACGTCGCAATAAAGGCAGGCACTTCATACACCGCCATCTTTTCCTACAAAAAAATGGTAAAAGTGGTCAGAGGTTGCCTCAGATCGCACCAAATTAAACATTAAGTCATCAACGTATGTTTTTGAGAACATGCTGTCTTGATTTGAGTGAAGACAAGATAAGTTTGCGGTAGCAGCATGCGAATAAATCGCTTTTGTGAGTATGTGAGGTTCTGAACAGAACCGAACTGGTTCCTTTCAGAACCACACATACTCACAAAGAGATTTATTCACATGCTGCTAGTCTGCTACCACAAACTTATCTTCATTTGAGTTGTATTTAATTCTGAAATAATTAAACACCAAATCATCAACATGTAATTTTTTTTCTCAGAACATGCGAGTTATATTTAATTGTAGTAATTGAAAACCAAGTCATCAACATATGTTTTAGATCATGTTGTCTCGATTCGAGTTATATTTAATTCTGAAATAATTAAACACCAAGTCATCAACATATAATTTTTAGAACATGCTGTCTGGACTCGAGTTAAATTTAATTCTGAAATAATTGAACACCAAGTCATCAACATATATGTTTTTAGAGCATGCTGTCTTGATTCGAGTTTTATTTATTTATGTAGTAATTGAAAACCAAGTCATCAACATATATTTTTTAGAACATGTTGTCTGGACTCGAGTTATGTTTAATTCTAAAATAATTGAACACCAAGTCATCAACGCATTATTGTTAGGTGATCAAGGGAAACTTTGCAGATTTAATTTTAATCATCTCTTTGAAAATCATATTTTAAAAAGATCATTATTAACAAAAACTCATGTAGCGCGATAAACTTGCTTCAAAGGTTTAAGTTTAAAAGTGTTTTTCTTTGTTTTGGTAACCGTATAGTTTGTACAATGCGCACAATTCTTATTCAGTCATGCGTTTGCCAAAAAAAACAACCCTCTTAAATTCCATTCCTGCTTGAGTTGTTCTCCATGACGATTGCTGTACTTTGTAGTTGTACATGAGAGGTTTCATTACACTGCAGTCATAATATCATACCTCCAGGATAACACACTGCGGTCCAAACGCGTGCTGAGGTCGCAGTCTTGACCCCGATTTTAAGCCCATAATGCACCCACATGCCTCGAAAGCCAAACAAAATTTCCGCGAGGTGCTTAAAGGGGCAATAGGTTTATAATTGCATGGACCAGCAATTCCTGAGAGGAAACTTAAAGGGGCAATATGTTTATAATTGTAAGGACCAGTAATTCCGCTACTCAAATTTAGCACCTCACATGGGGCCTAGTTTCTTTGTTCATTTCGGGCAACGAAAACATATTGGATTAAATTTCATGAACTTACTGGTGAATTGAGCGAGAAGATGAAGATTGGGGCCAGTTTTAAAGAGCACAAATAACTGTATAATAACACATAATTTGAGGAGAATGGGCAATGCGTGTGAATTTTTGCCAAGCACAACAGTTTACCAGCCAAAAAGTCAAGTGTTGTAGTTTGCTTGTTACTGGTACTCTGTCATAATTGTCACGAATAAGACGTCACTACCTGTTATTTCAAAACTCTTACAATCAGAAGAACTTGATTTGTATTTCGTTACCGTGGGTGGTTACTGCTGCAGTGTGATAGAATTTGATTCTACAAATGAAACCCGTTTGAAGACAGCCAGACTATACGAACCGAAACATCGAATGAACGGACCGACTCTATGTTGCGTCAAGCAACCGCTTCAGTGAAAAGTTAGTGGACGCTTAGATTAGATTAGATTGTTTTATTCAGTCAACGATTAAAAAATAATCACAGGAATTTGCAATGTTGGACTCACATAAAGATAACAATTTAAAAATACCATATAATTAAATCAATGACCACATAAAGTTAGCACAATAATGATATACATACAATTACAATAACTCTTACATAATTAAAATGACCCGTTATTAAGAACCCGCACGGCCGATGGTATAAAATTATTTCTGAAAACGGTCGGTTTTTGCACTGATTGATCTCATATTTCTTCCTGAAGGCATCATGTGGAAGAACTCATTTACTGTGTGATGAATGTCCTTAATAATATCCACACGTTTCTCCATTCTCTTTTCGTAAATTGTCTTGTGGCCATCCAACTTAACTCCAATTATGTACAATGCGTTTTTAGCCACCCGATTCAGTTTGTCAATTTCGTATGAGCATAATCAAATATGCTCACACCAAAACAATTCAGTATACGTAAAAAATACAAACGTTATTGGGCCTTTTTCAAATTTTCAGATACTTGATTTGACCAAGACAGAGTGTTCATTATGGATGTACCCTATAACCTAGACTGATTGGTTTCCATCTGTACACGGGTAGAACACAACTAGCAACTAATTTAATTGTAAACAGTATTCACTGCCATTTTTGTTATCTCTTGCCAAATCATCTGCGTTTACGTTTTCAGTATACATGTAGGTGAATTTCAAAGTTGAGAAACAAAACAAGACAATACGTACCACAGACAGCAAGAATAGACTTTCGTGTGAAAAAAAGGAGAGAAGCAACACCAACGAAAGAAAGCATCAGTCGGTAAAGATGGTTACCAACGCTGACGATTCGGGTTTTTTTCGACAAAAACTTTTGAAATAAAACAACGTTCCAAGTGCACGGTACAACATCATCTCTCAAACACATGAACCCCTGAACCGACCTACATTAAAAAAAATGTCCGATGTATTTTTGTTCATGCATCGATTTTTCTTGTCAAAAATTCCCAACTGCATAACATGTCTTTAAGGGACGTCTAGTGACTTCGGCAAAAGCCAGGTGCTTGACAAGGTCCGTTCGTTAGCCTTGAACGCCCCATGCCCAGACGCCGAATCAAGGGGGGAACAGTTTCTCCCTCCTTCGCAATCAGAGAGCTGTCGTCTTTTCTCGAAACAGCAGGAAATTAAAATAACAACGTCAAGGGTGTTGATGCCTTGTCATAACACCAATATTTGCTAGGAGTTGGATTAAAAAAAGGAGAAAAAAAAAGTCTGAGCTTCAAATTTCAAAGCGTTGACTAATAACAAGCGATGTGGTACACGCTCACTTATAGTAATTTGTAGAATTTCAACAACGGAGAAGACGTGCCGAAGCAGCGTACCAATGCTTTAAAAATAAACCGTGATGGATTTGAGTGAACTGTTTGTCGACTAGAGTTCAA